TGGGGCTTGAAGTCATGACCCTGAGATCAAGACTTGAGTTGAGATCATGAGTTGGACCCTTAACTGATTGAGCCACCCAGGCACTTCTTGACTTTTGATTTGAGTAGCTGGGGCAGGAGAACCAGTGATCCTACGACCCTAAGAGAGAAGTTCCAGACCACCCACACCCTCTTGGCTCACCTTTCTCCAGCCATTGCTGCACCAAGCTCCTGCCCAGGCTGCCTGGTGCCTTGGTTACTTTCTGCTGGTGGTGGGGCGGGGGGACTTACTTCCCATGTGGGGTTGGTAATTGCTGGAGTAACCTCCAGCCCTCAGGTGCATACATCCTGGAAGTCCAAGTCCTGGGAATTAACACTCGTGGAATAACCTTGGCTGATGGAGGATGGAGGCAAGTGGATAATTTTGAGGTGCAGCGTCTGAAACTTTTCAGACAGTCTCTGCAGGATCAAGCCCAGCTGACCACAGTGATGACAAACAAAGCAATGTGTCCTCACAATAGCTTTCCTGCCTCCCATTTCACCAGCCCAGTCCCCCACTCCTATTCCTGATGTCACTTCCAAAACTATGCTGACTGCACACAAGCCCTTGTTTCCAGCTCCACTTCTAGAGGGCACAGGGGACCCCATGCTGGTTTCAAATTGAACTGATTAATACACATCTGGGAAGGTCAATGTTCCATATAATGTATCTCCAACCCAAATGACAACTATTTCTTGATTCTTCCATTAGAGAAGGAGCACAGTGATTGTGGAAAAACCCCTGAAAGAGAAGGCATGGGTTTCAGTTTAGCCACTAATTGGTTATGTGACCCAAGCTACACTATTTAACCTTTCTGAGCTCAGACCCTGATCTACAAAATAAAGGAGATGAATTGGATTACATCATGACTAGCATCCTTTCCAGTTCCACAATTGTATATTTGTGAAATAAAAGCATTGAGGTGACAGTTGGTAGTGGCTGCTGTTCCCCCTCATTAACCCTAGGGATTGTTTTGGCTAAAAATATGGCAACACTTTAATGCAACTTTAGACAAGCAAGTGAATCAGCCTCCTGAAGGTCTAGATTAGGGAATGAGCAGCTATTTGGAACCTCAGAAGACAATAATGCTGACAAAAAGAGAACAAGCCGGCTTCTTTGGGAGTCAGCAAACAGCAGGGGCTGCAGCATTAAGATAAGAACAGAGTAATGAGAAAACGAGTTGAAACCAACTTCCTTGGCTGCGTCCCAGCGGTCACTCAGTGATTCGACACATCCCTAACAGGCCTTGATAAATGGACTCCAACTGGTGAGATTTTTTTCCTCTTTAGAAGTTACTTGGAAACCTGGCTTGGGAAAATGCTTCGACTTTGAGAAAAAATAACACAAAATCCTGCAAGTGTCAGAGACAGGAAATAAAAACATTGAAGGGATACAGGCCTTCATAAATCCCAAATCAAGGAGCATCACTTCAGAAAAAGACGGAAGATCAGGATAGTTAAGTCAATCAAGGGGGCCACAAAACATGCAAAATAAATGAGCTATAAAGCAATGATATCGCCATTTATCAGAAATACAAGGCACTTATGAGATGTAAGACATTTATAGGACAGGTAACACAGGTATTGTAATCTCCATGTTACACATGAAGAAAAGAGGCTCAAGAGGTGAGTAATTTGTCTGGTGACACACAGCCAGGTAGTGGCAGAACCGGAATTTTTGCTTTTTAAGATACATATAAAAAATTAATTAAATTTGTACTTATCAAGGTAATACATGCATGTAGTTAACAAATTAAACAGTCCTGAAAAGCACATAATGAAACACAACAGTGTTTTCCATATTGCTTCCTTTTGTCTTTTGAGTATATTTCCCAGTGCTTTCATTTCATCTTTTAGTGTGGCCATAATATTCTTAATTTTAAGAGCTTTTTCTTTTTCTTTTTCTTTTTCTTTTTCTTTTCTTTCTTTTTTTTTTTCTTTCTTCTTCTATGGTGGCTCCTATTATTTTCTAAAGCATCCTGTTCTTGTTTCATGGATGTAATATCTTAGTTGTCTAAGGATATTAACAACAGTTTTGGGGTTTTGCTTTCTTCTTCTTCCTGTTTGCTCTGAATATTGTTTTTTCCTATTTTCTTTCATATGGGAGGCTTTCACAAAATTTTCTGTGATTCCCAGTATCCATTTGTATAGTAAGGCATTAAAAGGCTGGGCAGGAGTTGCTTATATGCATCCCCCACACACATTACATGGGACATATCTATACTAAAAATTATTCATTGCTGATATGAAATTCAAATTTCGTGGGGGTTCTTCTATTTCTATTTGCTAAATCTGACAACCCTGGGTATGTGGTTTTTGAACTCCTAGCTTCCGGGTGACTGGGCTATGGGTTCTCAATCCAGAGATTTGTTCCATTTCATTTCATTCCCTCTTCTGAGCTCTGTATCTCATTCCCATCTCATATTTTCCTCAGTCCAGAGTCTGCGCTTTAATTTCTCAGGGAATAAGCCTGTGGCTGTCTCCAGGGGTAGAGGAAAGGAAGCTTACTGGTTACTTTGGGGAAGGACTTCGTGGGTCTCTGAGTGTTCTATAAACTGACTCGCTATCAATCTCTTTGTCTTACTTAAGCTTTGAGTGTCACATCCCCTTTCTGTGGCATGTTTTGTCTCTGGGCTCCAAACAAGTGCTTACAGGGCAGATTGTCTTGCTTCTCAGAGCTGTTCCCCTCTGTAGGTCCTACCTTTCACTTCTACTCTGCTAGATCAGTTACCTTTTGTTGGTCTGCCTTCTCTTTTCCACTAATGTATTGGCATCTCCTATCAGTTATGTGCCCTCAATCTCTCTCTCCTTGAAGATTTATGCCTTTATTGTTCTTTTAAATGTATTTGGTATCATTTCAGTGGAGTTTCAGAAAGAAGAGGACATAGACACTTGGACTCAACCTACCTGGTTTAACTGCCAGAATGCAATTTTAATCCAAACCAACATACCTCCAAAGCCTTTACTCTTTCCACAATACCATGGACTAAGTCATTCAGCAGAATCCAACAATACCTACAGCATAGATTATTAGTTGCCTACTCTAATATCCTTCCTTCCTTTATTAATAATAAAACCCTTACTTTTTTTAAGCAGGGCACATGGCTACCCAGAATAAAGACTTTCTTTCCCAAACTTCCTTCAACCTAGGTATAGCCAAATGGCTAAATTCTGATCAATGAAATGTAAGTGGAAGGGTTCTCTGGAGCTTCCAGAAAACTTACCTAAGAGATGGCTTGCATCACCTTTTAGCGCCCTTTTTCTTTGTCCCTTCTTTCTTTCTGCTAGCTGAAATGTGGACATTATGGTTGGAGCTTGAGCAGCTACCTTGGACTAGGGTGGAAACCATGTGTCAAAAACAGCAGCTCAGAAAGATAAAAGGAGCACTGGGTTCCTGATGACTTAATGTGACTGCTCTACCAACTTTAGATGGTGGTTCTCCAGATTTCTTTTACATGACAGAGAAGTAAGTCACTATTATTTTAGGGTTTCTGTTCCTTACAATTGAATCTAATTCTAACTGACACAATGCCAGAGTGCATTGTGATATTTCAAAGTGAGTGAAACAGGCTTCCTAGAAAAGGTGATGGAGCAGATGGACTGTAAAGGAAAGTTCTGCTGGATGGGGAAGTGCAGGGACAGGATTTCATGCAGAAACAATGTGACTAGGGCACAGGGGCACCTCATGAGATGTTTTCAAGGGATAATATGTAGACCAGTCTGGTTGAAGCAGACAAATCATGCAGGAGAGAAGTGGAGATAAGAAGGAAAAAAGTCTGCGGGCAGATTATGGAGGGACTTGGAAGCTGAACCAAGTTTCGAGGTTGCTTTGAAAGCAATGAAGCCTCTCAAGGTTTTCAAGGTCGAAATTGGATAGGATGTGAGAGAGGGTTAGACTGAAGAATTCCAGAGCCTTCTTCATACCTATATAGGGTTATATGGAGATGAGATGAAGGGAACAGATATGAGTAGAGAGAGAGGAACATGGGTTCGAGAACTCATTTATGGAAACAAGAAGAAAGGAACCCTCAGAGAACCCAGAAAATGAGAGAGAAAAGCAATCAGATGTTGGGGAAGAGAAGAGGGCAGAAATTGACAGTGAGAAGCCTGTAAATCTTCAGAGGTCTCAACGAAGCTAGATAATATCAGAAATGAGTAAAGGACATTGAATTTGAGGACAAGAAAGTCTCTGGTGCCCTCTAACAGAACAATTTTGGCTGAATGTGAAGGTGCACATCAGTCTTCAAAGTGTAACTAGGTGTTAGGAAAATAAAGGTCCTAACATGTGCCATTCATTTGAAAAGGTAGGCAGTGAGAGAGAGGTAAATTGAAAAGCAATGAAAGATCTCCATGGGATCAAGTGAAAGAGTTTTTTTAAGGGAGGAAAGTTGGTCTTTAAAGAGGAAACTATGCATATTGGTGAAGGAAGAGACTTCCATGCTGCCAAGATAAGTAGTACCCAATGGAGCAGGTCTCAGAGGATGTAAGAGGGATGGAATTTCCAGCCCAGATAGAGGCTTGAACTTTGGGGTAAAGGGGATAGAACTTCTGAGAAAGACATCTAGAGGAGAGGCAAGAAATGAGGGCTTGGATTTCAAGTCAACCTTTCAGCAACAAATCTTTCATTAGCATCATCAATGCCCTTATGGATCTGACTAGAAATAACAGTCCAATATAGCAATTTCAACCAGTCTCTGAAATAAAAACGGCCATCATTTAGCTTCAGAGTCAAAAATCTCAAAGTTCATAAAATAAAAGAAAGCTATAAATCTCTTAATGCTAGCCTCAATTTTCTTGTCTTACAGATACCACCTTAATGAAATTCATTTAGATAAGGGAAAACAACAACAGAAAGTTTAGCTCATTTACACATTGACACTAGTGCTAGGATAACAGGCAACCCCCAAATATGGACCTGAAAATTAATTACAGGATGAAAATTTAGATATCCATTTGTCAAATAGATCAAATGCCAATACCTACTCAAAGTACAGCGTGAGGTCTGTTGCTAATATTGACTGCTTCAAAAGCTGCATAAGGTCACTGTATTCCTTGGAGGATAAATTAGCAAAGATGTTGTGACCCTGTAATGAGAAAGTAAAAAAGTCACAAAAGACAACATTAAATCTGAGGTTGTTGATTATATGTATCTCCAATATTTAAAAAAAGAAAGTATGGGCACATGATAAAATCATTTTAAAAATTAATGAAATTTTGTGCAAATACAAACAGATTTTCTGACAAACATAGCAAAGCCAGAAAATGCAATCATTTTGAGGGAGGACTACCAGGGGGGCACTTCATTAATCTTTACCAGACTTTGTTAGTCTTAAATAGAAAACTCTGAAAACATTTAAATTTGTCTCACTGTGGATATGCCTGTGCCAACAACTCCGTTTGACTGCCACTTCCTGTGGAATTGCGGAGTGCAGAAGTTGACAAGACATTTGAGAATCTTTCTGACCCCGAAAATGAATACTAGTTTTACTAATAAAGACTTAAGTTGGCATTTTGGAAGCACCTGCTATGGCAACAAATGGCTTTAAGGAGGAGAAAAAAAACCCATAGACCAGTGGTTCTCAACTGAGGATGATTTTGGCAATGGAGACTTCTAGCAATGTTTAGAGACATTTTTGATGGTCACACTGGATGGGCATGCCATTGATGGATAGAGGCCTGGGATGCTGCTAAATCTCTTACAATGCACAGGAGAGCCCCCACAACAAAGATTTATCTGGCCTCGCGTGTCAACTCAGCCGAGCTTGAGAAATCCTGTGTTAAATTGTGAAGATACATCCTAATGAGGTATGTGTAGATGAAGTCCAGTACGTAATTACTGAGTGGCTAGGATGTAGGAGATACTGTTCTTGGCATGGTTCTTGGGATGTTAAGATATTTCCTTAGGAAAACTTGCATCTGTATAACTCCATGCCTTTGGAAAATACCCTTCTTTTCATCAAAATTTGTTTCAGCTAAAATATACAGTTCTGCAATGTTTTTAGTATAGTGAAAAAAAATCCTTGTGTAAAGTGACCGACTATTCACTTAATTTGCTTTGAGAGTCAGGGACTTTTCATCTACCGAGTTTTCTTAGCATGAATTATGAACTCATAAACATGTGGCCGGGGAACTGGAGGGGTCTCAAGCCAGCGTTTAGAGCCAGAAGACGGTGCCCAAAGAAGGCGCAGAATCGCGGCCGGAGAATAAACTCTTCTCTGCCTAGAGGTAAATTAATTCTTTCAGGGAACCAGAATATCAATTAGTAAATTAGTTCTTACCAGGCACCAGATGATAATCTCCTTCCCTTACTTAATTTATCTCATTGGGTGAACCCTCCGTTCCTTAAAGACTAGAGTATATTGGTTGCACCTGGGACAACGTCCAATATTAATAATAATTTTCAAATGAACTCTCCCAGACCCTTAATTCAGCCATTAGGAAGAAGACAAATAACTAAAGGTAGGCCACACCATAATTCTGCCCAGGTTTCTTTGCCTGAGCCTTGCCCCATGGATCAATCACAGGCTGGTGTGCTGGGGCCTGGGAGAAAGTGGGTAGATCTCTGGAGAAGCTGTCACCCGGATGTAGACACATATCTAGAATCTCCCAGTGAAAGAAATATAGCCTTTTGGAGTAAGTGACAGTCAAAACTATGTGGAATTCAGGAGGGAGTTGGTCTGAATTTGAGGACCTTGATCATTTTGTGAGAGAGCGCATTTTACCAATTTTAAAGGACTTACGTAACACAACGGACACAATTTATAGCTGATAGAGGTGATAAAGGTAGCCTGATAAGCTCTAATAAAAATAATTTAAAAAACCCAGCTAATTTGCAATCAATGTATTGTTTATATGCAAATTGGCCTTCTACAATGCCTCACGCCTTTGGTCCCCGAGACAGATTTTTTCCCTTAAATATTGCTTCTACTCCTTGTTTAGGGAGGACTGGTATTGATGGAAAGAAAACCGACCGTGGAGGTAGAAAGGTCTGGAGCAACTATGCTCTGGCCTCTGCCTCATTTGAAAAGCGGGGGTGTAATGCCATGTGCATTTTTGCCTTTCTGAAGGGCAGGACAGGAGGGGATGCGAGGAAAGCTCTAGGCCACCACCCACAGGCCAGTTGCTCAGGGCGTAGTTCTGTTATTATTGTTCTGCGTTTTCCAGAGACAACCATGCAGTGGAGGCCAGCCAACGCGTTTTGCTTGTGTGAAGACAAATTCTGAGTTAGCAGGGTTTGTTTTTCCCAAGAGACAAACAAATGACCTTCCGAGAAAACACTAACGCCCTGTTTATTATAATCCCTGTTATCACAAAGGTGGGAGTTTCTGGGGTCCGATGTCAACCCATCATATTGCCCATACAGAAAAGACCATCTGTACCCAACCTCCTCCTGACCCCTCCTCCTTCACAGCGTTCAGCTAAAAACATGGCTTGCATAGGAAAATTCCAGAGCCTTGGAGGCTGGGCTGCTGGATTCTGTCAGAGTTACTGAGAGCCTAACCCTTGATGTTTCATTCCCAACTGAAAATACATCTCCCCCAGCGGGTTTGCTCTTCCCCAGAGGCATCAGGTTCCGGAGTGCTGACTCTCCTTTATGGGGTCGAAGAAGGCTTTCATGATATTGCAAAAGACATGCTTTCTCCAGATAGGCTGGAGGAAAAAAAAAAAAAAAAAAAACACCCTCCATATTTAATGATGCTATTCCAGCGAAGCAGGGCCTTAATGATGATAATAATAATAATTAATGGCACAGCTAGAGAACTGACAAATAATGGGGAACAGATGATCCCTTCTTGGCCTAAAAAAAAAAAAATTCTGTACGCCTGCAGAAAATTAAACAGATCCTTTCCTGGCAATTTAAAACTCAGATGCCTCAGCCAGAGTCCATTAGTGTTTTTTTCTTTTTCTCCATGGAGAGCTAAAAGTACAAAAGGCCAACTATTTCCAGTTCCTACATTGCCACATGAAACAAAATAAGGCATAAGGCTTTAGCCCTGGGTCCCAAGTTTAGCTGCAATTCTCACTTTCTGATTGCTCCCACCAGCGATTTGGGGCTCTTTTATCTTTTATAGCTTTCTCGATTGTGCTAATAAAGTGTAATTTTCTCACCCTGTTTCTACTTCTACCATCTTTTAAAATGGCTTTGAATTTCACAAAGTGAGAATGTTGGGCCACTCGCTATTTCCATCAAGTCGCTCTATACTCCTCCGGCAAGGTAAGCCTGTGCTCTGGTGACAAACTGTAAGTGGTCCCCTCTGCGAAGTGAGTCTGAGAAGTCTCCTTACCAATAATGAAACCCAAATGAATCAGCTCCGGAAGAATTTGAATAAGGTTCTTGGTCAGGCATCTGAAAGAATTTTACAAAGCCACTAAGAAAATAGTTTGGCCTAACAACACTTGTCCTCTTCTCTGTATTTACCTGTGGCACCACAAAGAGAGAGGTAGCAAACATTGTTTTATTGGTTCTTCTGTCAAAAGCATGAACATAACATTAGGTCTGTACCTCACTTTGCAGGATCATCACAGCGTGGTTAAAATGGTGATGCTCCAAGGTAGCAGAAGTTCCGTAGAGCTGGGCCAGAGCAGAGCCGCTCCTGAAAGAGGACAGAAGGGTGAGTGACCAGGACCTTCCACTTGTCAGTGATCCTCCCACCCCAGTTCTTTGGATCAAATTGCTTCTCCTGCTTTGGCAAAGGAACATTAGCATATACACACCTTCTGTGTGTTGGACTAGAGTCTATGGATGATAGAACAGTAAATAAGACGCAGTCTACATTGCTAAGGAAGATGAGGTGTGGTCATAAGGGAAAATAATGCACATAACACAAATGCCATAGACAGTGTTCCGGGTCCAATCAAAGGGCTGCGGATGATCTGAGGACCGAAGATATAAATTCTAGCTCAGGGGATCAGGGTACACTTTGTGAATAAACCTTATGTATCTTCTGAGTGTCCAGAACAACTAATTGTCTTATACTAAATGTATTTGACTCTCCATGGGAAAAGCTCTTGGGAATATTAGGCACAGCCCATTTAACCACTTTACATGCATGGCTGACAAATTTTTACTATGGTTTCCCAGCCCAGAGTCCCATTATATCTCAGGTTAGAACTCTGGAAAGTTCCCTGGATTTGGAACCAGACCCCAGCTCTTGGCAATAGCTTTGGATAATTTCTTGGGTGCTTTAGGATTCAGCTTCTTTGTCTCTAAAATTATGATAATGCTATCTACCTCCTGTTATCTATGAAAATAAAATAAAATAAAATATTTGAAAGTACCTATCATAATGCATGACATGTAGTAGACTGCAGTCTACTAAATCAATTAAAATCCATATATATTTCCATTTAAGAATGGAAAATGTTGATACTTGAAAAAATTATTTTGAGTTATCCATAAATTTTGCTTATTGTTAATTCTCAACAATATTAGTTCAGCAACGTGTTCATTGGAAATGTCCAAGTGTGGGGATCCCTGGGTGGTGCAGCGGTTTGGCGCCTGCCTTTGACCCGGGGCGCGATCCTGGAGACCCGGGATCGAATCCCACGTCGGGCTCCTGGTGCATGGAGCCTGCTTCTCCCTCTGCCTGTGTCTCTGCCTCTCTCTCTCTCTCTCTCTCTCTCTGTGCGTGTGACTATCATAAATAAATAAAAATTAAAAAAAAAAAGGAAATGTCCAAGTGTGTTCATTTCCAGCTCTTGTGGATTAGGAATTAGAACATCTCAAGAGTCAAGAGAGATCCAGAGAATCCTATAGCTTAAAAGGCAGTCCTGGGACTCTGACTAATGACCCATCCAGGTCCTTGTATTCTTTCCTACTCATTCCAGGGAGTTGGGACATTAAAAGCAATTTGGCTTTTATTTGGAAACACTGGGGATTGACAGCACACAGACTGTCTTGCTCATAAGAAGAGCAAGAACTGCATTTATGTGCAATGTGAAGGATTTTGATCATAAGCTGCCCTCCACCTCCACTGTGAAGCAGCCCAAGATCACAGCTGGATCAGGAGTCCAGGGACCTGTGTTCCCTGGACAGCCTCAGAGCTGACCACATGTTGGGGGAAACACAGGGTTCCATAGGGATTATTATGAATAGATAAGGAGGGAGCTAGATTTTCATCGGGTATGTGTTATTTCTTTAAGTCTTACCTTAATCTATACCATTTAATAAGTGAAAATTTGTTAGGCCAATCTTAGTAATCAGTGATTAATTAATATTTAATTATAGTTACTGTTTTCTATCAGAGTTCATTTTTATTAAAATACATTTGTCAAAAAAATAAAATAAAACAAAATACATTTGTCAAGGTGTACACTGTATGCCTTTATTTTGGTTTCTGAAATTCTAGGATGTTTTATGTGCGAATCATATCCAATTGCCTGGCATGGAATAGTTGCTTAAAAAATATTAGCTGCTTGGCTAATAAGTTTACAGTGGTATGGCTAGAAATGAGAGTTTGCATTAGGTTCAGTAATAAATGTGTTAGCACATTTTGTGATAATGTCATAAATAATAATAACTATCATGAGAACTTACCTATCATACACTGGGCAATATATTAACAATTTAATACATCATTTCATTTTAGTCCTAACAACAACCATGAAATAGGTGTTATTTTTCTCATTTTATAGATGAGGAAACCAAGGCTCAGAAAAGTTACACAACTTTTCCAAGGTCACACAGCTGATAGGTACCAGTTCTGGACTGGAATCCAAGTTTGTAAGTTTCTTCTCACTACATCATGAGAAAGATAACTTTCTCATTTCTGCTACTGAGTCTCCATTTTTGTCAAGCTGGTTGTCATCAATGAAAAAAGATTTCAAAATTTAATGCAGAATTCTACTTGTATACCAACTGCTAACCACAGGCTCAGATTCCTGTGATTTGTTTCTATTAAATAGCCATGCCCAGATGCCCCTCACTTAGTGGTGTGAAACCTGATAACAGAGTCACTGATATAAGATAAGGTCACAGTGCAAAATATTATTTCATCCTTTATCATGTTGGTTTAGCAGACCTCACAAAAGTTAAATCAGCTGGATGATCACAAATTACTTTATACTGTCTTTTTTCAGGATGAGTAGGAAGTTTCCTCCCTTAACCAGGGGGCACTTTATAACAAATACTACCCTCACACAGTACTGAGTTAATCACAAATATATGTAGATTTTGCAGCTGAACCATACTAAAGCTACAAAAGTGCAGGAAAACATTGTGATTCATTCATTCGCTCACCCAACAAGTAATGATGATTCTTACAAAGCCAGGCTATGGGCATGTGGAATACAAAGATAAATAAGAGCTTCTACCTTCAGGAAGCTCACAGTCCCCTATAATTGTGTAGGAGACATTCTCTTATTAGACTTGCACTACTAATGCTCCCCTTTCTGCAAGCAAGGTGTCGTTTTAGGTGTTCATAGAACAAAGTATGGTACTAAACCTACTTTCAGTTTTCTAGAGTAAAATCATAGAAGCAAGAATGTTTCCATTTCCATATGGATCCTTTGTTTACACTATTAGATTTGGTCTTTGTTAGTTTTTCTAAGACTGCAAAACCCCTTGGTGCTTTTGCTCTCAGGTCAAGTCTCACTGAGGATGTTGCCTATACCTGCCACTGCACTCATACATGCTATGAACCTCCTAGGGCCACAGGAATGAAGCCCACAGACACTAAACTTGATGTAAATGGCAAAAAATAAAATATATCTCAGGATATACCTTATCAAAAAGTAGGCTACAGAATACTAGTTCTTTGGAATATTAAATGGCATATAGGCAGAAATGAAAAAAGTCCCAAGGTCAAATACATTTGGAAAATGCCGGGTTTAAAAAGTTAAACTGTTTTATTATTGTCGGATTTCCCAATGGTATCCATATGTGAAAATACATGGTGATTTTGCAGGTGGGGAATGTAATATGCAATATTAACCAATTTTACTTTAGCATAAAACCATTTTTTAAAAGAAGCCATGTCTTTCATGTAATATATTTTGTGTAAAGGTATACTTCCAGTTTTTCATGTAAAATATGAGAAAGATACCCAAATGAATTGCATATGGAAAAAATGAACTTTAACGCCAGCCCTCACTTTAATTGTCTGTAGGAAGTATATCCATCATAGAAGAGCTGTGGGGCACATACTGTAAGTATGAAAATATTACATATCCAAATTGTGGAGTTATATATATCTCCAACTTGCAGATATCCACATTATATATCCAAATTCCACAAGCACAGGAATATTTATACATATGATTATTCATGATGCTCATTATTGATTAGGTCATCCCAACAACATACTAAAGTTTTCCATTTTTGGACAGGTGACACACCAAGGGAGACTTATTAAAAAGAAAAGTCAAAGTGAAAATTCTTTCCCTACAGGCCATTCAGCACTTTGCACAGGAACCAAAAAATAAATGTGCAAAAATGTGCATAAGTTTGCTAGGTATGCATATTCTTTGGAAGAGAGATGTAATGGGAGTGTGTGGCCATGGCTTATGGGAAAGTTTTAGAAGGAAAACTATGAAAGGTAATTAGGAAATTGAGAATTGCTGGGAGGTGGTGAGGAATGGGATTAGGCTGTCACGGCAGATTAATGTGCCCCAGGATTTCACTTCTGGGACCTGGCCGAAAGCGACAAGATGGGTTTTCATTCCCAATAAATGAGTATAAGAGATTATGCTAGAAATGAATAGAAGAAGTCTCCTAGGAGAATATACTACAAAGCTGCTTGGTACTGATATTTAATCATCGGGGGCAGCTGTAATGGAGAGGGGGATGAGTGGGAAAGGCTGTCCCTGGAGAAAACAGGAGAGAGGTGTTCACAGAGCAATTGCCAAGCATGGTGGGATGGCGGCCCTCTCTACCTATTGATCATTCATTGCACATGCTCCAATACTTAAAAATTAAGAATAAAATATGAAAATGCAAAGGTTCACTCATCAGAAAGGCTAAGAGAATAAATCATATTGTGCTATAACTAAAGTCACAACTTTTTATTGTAGAGGCATTTTGCATTTTATATAGTAATTTGTCCCCTGCTAAATGTCTCCTGTTTCTTTTATGGCCTTATATATGAATAAAAGGTACTGTATGCTTCGCCACATAATAATTGGTGCATTTAAATCCCATTTCCAAATCACTTGAAAGGTTGGAATTATACTGTGAATACTTTAAGGGAAGGGGCTGTTTGTTATACTTCTTTATTTCTCCCCCAATGCCTAGCATGGAGGTTTGCACAAGAAAAACACTCAATTATTGTGGAAAAACAAAGGAAATAAGGATTAGATTTCTTCAGAAGGCTTTTCTAAATAATGGCACACTTACTGAAAAAGTCTTTTTTTTAATCAATAAAAAACTAATCCCTTCCCCATGATGTCAGAAGGTCTCTTTCTGTATTTCCTGTTGAAGGACATTTTAACTGAGGTTGGGTGGTGATGGCATTTGGTATCCTAAGTTCAGAAGTGACTCTCTTAGGTAGAAGTAGGGCTGAGGGACAACATGTGAGCTGATAAATTGTATACAAGATTAATTGTCTCAAGGAAACACGTCAGACTGTCTTGGAACAGGTAGATTTGACCATGTGGTATGAGGATGCCAAAAAAAAAAAAAAAAAGACTGCTAGTATCATTAACTAATACTATCTCATATGTTGAAAGTTGTTTAATCTCACACCAATCACTTGAGACTTGGGGACCTTAGTTTCCATCTTTGTAAAATTAAGGTGTTGAAACATGACTACCAAGGTCTAGTTCAGTTCTATGATATTTTATGGTTCCATGTCTTGATTTGCTGGATGTCAAAGCATGTTTCAGTTTTCCAGAGCTCACATATATGGCAAGTCAACAAACTGGAAGCTCAAAGGCCTCAAGTAAATATTACAGTGTCACAAAAGACAGGATGATGCAGTGGTTAAAGAATGGCTTTTGGAATCAGATAGTCTGGGTCCGAATACCATTCTGGGTATATGAATTTGGGCAAGTTAATTACTTTCCTGAGGCTCAGGCCCTCTCCATAAAATGGGGACAAAAATATTTACCCTACACGGATATTGGTGAGCACTGGAGGTAGGAAACAACAAACACATGGTAGTTCTCTCGGTCTCAGGGACTGTTAGTTGCAAAGAACAGAAATCAGTTAGAAGCAGCTTCACTGAAGAGAAGGTTGATTAAAGGATAAAAAGAACTGTGACAGCGCCCAATTATCACAAGTGTGGCTGGGTCTCCTGGAAAGGGAGGAGAGATGTGGAAAGCACGGATCAAGTCTGCTTTTTGTCTTTCTCTAAGGTTGTACAATCTCTTCTTTCTGTTTCTCCCCGAATATCTACTTCTTCTTCTCTTCTCTGCAGATTCCCTTTCTTGTTTCTGTTAGCTATGTGCCATGGTCATCATGGCTTTCCCAAAATGGCAGCCTACAGCTCCCAAGTCTCTGTGGATCTGCAGCCTGGATCTCAACAGCTGACTCAATATCATGGTAATCCAACTCCAAATTCCTGGCAGATAAAATACAATTAGCTGGGTTTTAATCAGGTGTGTATTCTTGGTCCAAAGAGCTGAGAGGTCCATGCAAGAAGGGCCACCACTCTCAGTGTGACACACAGGCTTTCTCTGGGAAGGCACAGTGGTATCTCAGGATAAATATTGGGCGCTTGGCTCTTAAAAAGAACCCTCAAGGTGCCCAGCCTTGTTTTATGACTATAATTCGAATACATTTATCTCTTATTTATGCCTAAGTGGCAAAATAGTAGAGGGCTAGAGAGCATGCTAAAGGAAGATACACTGACAATGATGCCATTGACCTACCAGAGAGAGGCATCCTAAAAAAATAATGAAATGCAGACACAGAAACCCAAACATAAGGAATTGTCACACCCTATAATGAAAGTACACTCTGTTTATGCTTCAGTAGGCCCCAGGGACACTATTGTCTTTAGTACAACATCAAACTATGTGTATAAAAACTATGTTTTATAATAACCTATAAAAGATTATACTTGCTTAAGAAATCAGGAAACCTTATTGAAAAGCTGTATTAAAATAGTTAAATCCGTTAAAACAAAATCTCACCCATTTATCCATTCATCATTCATTCACTCATCAAACATTCTTTGTGTGTTTCTTATGCTCCTGTTACTTGCTATACATCACAGGTACTCAAGAAAAAGGAAAGACACACCTGTAAATCAGCAATTAAAATGTAGTGAGATGCATACTTCTGCAAAAGCATAGGGCATTATGTGAGCACAGCAAATCAACCAGGGGATGGTACCCCGGGGATAAAACCCAGAGGAATTTTGAGGAAAGGAGAAGGAAGGCATTCCAGGTAAGGGAAGCAGCATACTGGGGCACAGAGAGCTATAACTATCTGGACCCACCCCCCCTTCTTGAGCACTCCAATAGCCCCTGTGTCTGGATTGCTGATGCAAAGATGGAGGGGAGGGAGGAGTGGGCGCTGGGCCAGGACAATGGGCAGGAGCCAGATAGAAAAGGAGCTTTGGGGGCTACACTAAGCAATTTGAATATTATCCTGAAAGTCACAGGAGGCCAGTGAATGTCTTTCAGGCAGGAGAGTGATCTAGTGAGCTTCGTGAATTACAAAGATTATTCTGGAGTGCCAGGAGGGGGGAAGACCGGAGGAGGGAAGTTGGGCTCCTTGTGGTAGCAATTCAGAACGGATGCAAAGAAGCAGCAGTTCCAGTAAGAAGGCAGAGATGTGGACTTTGAGGGGTGCTAAGGAGAAGCAGCTCTGGGTGTCTTGTGGATTTCGGGTGCCACCATTCACTGAGATAGAGGAAAAGGGATAGGGAAAGACTGATTCTGAGGTGAGAGGGGGACTCTCAGAAGGAGGGAGTGGCAAAACGTGCCTTCAGGCAAGAAGGGCCAAGAAAGATGGACAAGAAGTGTCCATTGGCTTTGGGAAAGGGGCCCATTGGTGGCTTCACCTGGTAAGGCAGAACTGGAACCCATGTGGAAGGCAGGGGCTGAGGAAGTGAAGACAATGAACAGACAACTCTCCAAGAGGACTGACTGGGAAGGAAAGGAGAGAAAGAGAGCGGAAGCTGGAGGGAGAAGTGGGGACTGAGGTGGGCTTCCTCAAGATGGGGGAGAATAGTTCCCATTAACAGGACGCTGAGCACTGTAGGAAAGAGGAGGAGGCACAAGGCAGAGAGAGGGAGATTGATGGAGTGGGGTCCCGCAGGAGGGGGCAAGGAAGGCATCCCAAGCTGAGGTGGAGGGATTAGCCTCAGACAGGAGGCAGCACGGCCCCTTGACTGAGATAGCTGGGAAGGATGAAAGGATGGGGCCAGACAGATAAGTTTCTACATGGCAGGGGAGGAAATTGAGGGAGTGCTCAATTGATGGCCTCAATTTTCTCGGTGAAGGAGGAGGCAAGGTGATCTGCTGAGTGGTGTGGGGGTGGTGGCGGACAGGAGGTGGTTTAGGAAGGGAAAACCGGTCAGTACATATAACCGCTAAGGGGGGGGGGGGGACAGAGCTGGCCAGGGATGCAGAAAGATCAGTAGGGAACACAGAGCCGCCAGCTGAGTTGGGACAATATATATTTGTATGTCTCAGACTCTCGCAACTGTGACATTTTCTCCCAAAGCCTTTAAAAGTCTAGGTGGAGTTGCAAGAAATCGAAACGTTTGATTGAGCTGGGGCTGAGTTTTTGCAGAGTAGATGTCATAAGAGGTTAAGAGAGTCAAGAAATCGTAGGATACTGAGAAGAGAAGGTTCAAGGGATGAGCTATAATAGGATCCAGGCTGCCTAGAGAAGTGTATAAAATAAAAATTCATTTGCTGGATCAGGAATAAAAGCAGGCTGCCAGGACTCCAAGGCCTCCCTAGGTAGATGTTCAAGGAACAAAGTGAGTGGTGTGCTGTTGAAAAACAGTGGGCCGTTGACATTCAGATTATGGAGGGAGAGAGACCCGTTTGGGGGCTTTGAAATCGGTCATCTGATGGTTCAGCTTGCCTCTTTGTTGAAGCCTTCCTTAACTTCTCCATCCCCAAACTTTTTGCTCTAGAGTCTGAACCCACATATCATTTTGTTTACAAACAGTATAAGGACCGTTAAAACTGGGCCCTTAATATCAGTTGGGAGATTGGGGTTTTGGTCTTATTTCCAGCACCCATAAATTCTATAACCTTGGCCACAGCGTTAGCCAGTAAGCAATGGTTATCTTGACCCATCCAATTTGCTTAGGGGCAGATTATTCCGTCTGTGCACGTCATGTGTTGCACATCCCCAGTCCTGATGCCACCTTTGTTCCCCATCTTTCTGTGGGAGGAGGGACGAGAGCAGCAGAGACCGTATTCCTCATGTCACTTTATTTCACTGCAGTTTATACTATACCCACCATTAAAGAGCCTGCAAGAGATTCTATTGGGTGAAGAAAGATATTTCGCTTCATAAAATTTCCTAAGACCACTTTTATTTTAATAGTCTCAAAAGCTGATTTTGAGAGTTGCAAGTCCAAGATGCTTATAATGCCGTGAAGGCAAATATTCTGGGAGGGAAAAAAAAATAGGCCCTTTAAAATCTGAGCTTTGTTATCTGACTGAGGTCAACAGAGACAGACCAAATCAACAAGCATGACATGAAGGGCAAATTTGCAATTAAAAGAAGAATAGGGAATTATAAAGATGGATGAGCCCCATGACATGCACACCCAAGCCTGCGTGGCCTTGGCCTCAGATGCCAGAAATTAATGCTTTACTCTTTAGCACTCGTCACCTTTGGCTCCGAACAGAAAGGCAAATGCATTAAAATAACAACAATTAGAACACTTACTTAGCTTGGAAGGCATTGTTGGTTCCCCTGTGATCGAGGTCATGACACAGGCATCCCACAATCACCGCTAAAATTTCCACCTCGGTCAGAATCTCTTGAAACCCTGCGGTCTGGGAAGAGGGGAAAAATGGCAACAGTCACTCCTTGGGGCAGGGAGGATGGATAAGGTCCGTCCGCTGAGCAACAATCAGCTCTGTTTTCATACCCACATCATTTAAGGAGATGATTAACTGCCACCCAGTTAGATGACAGTCAGTTGGGTGGTCAGTTGCACAGCTAAAGGTCCCCACAGTGATGAATTAGCTGGCTGTCATGGGGGCCCACACTGGCACACCAGGACAAAGTTCAGACTATTCCCTTCTTAGAGAAGAGGCCGCCCTATCCAGATACAGTGACAGTTTGGCAGAGGCTCAGAGCAAAATGTGTTTTGTGAGTCTACATGGCAACAATGAGTATCTCGTGGTAGGAAGGAGGAAAGAGGACTGTGAATTTAGAAGTGAATGCTATAATCCACCAGATGCCACTCAAACGAAGGCGGGCAAGAGAAAACACGTTATATATGGGTTAAAAGAAGCAACTTAGAGGTACTCAAATTGCTACATGAAAATATTCTAGACGTTCTCTTGTGAAGACCTTAATTCATATTAGCTTGGAGGACAGATTAAATTCATACAGATAATAAGGCAGGGTACGTCTTGAAAACTAGGCTTTGGCAGAGGATTAGCAACACAGATTGAGGATCACATGGGGAATCTTTTTACATAGAATCCTTTTTTTTTTTTTTTTATTAGCTTCTGGGGCACACTCATGGAATGTACAGGCTCCATGTGAGATCTTTGGGGAGCAGTGATGTAATTACGGAACCAAGGTTCATTACGGAACCAAGGTTCGTTGGTTCCTATTGTCCTTCGGTTAGTTTAGAAGAGGAGGAAGTGAGCCTCTGGAAACACAAGCCTATGCATTTTCTTGACCCCAAGCCTGTCTTCCCCCTTTTTCTTACTTAAGTCTCCCATTTCAGTATTTATTAAAATCTGTATCAGCGGCCAGGAGAAGGGGAAAGTGGGGTTCAAATTGCTTCCTTTTTCATGTACATTTTTCCCCAAACTGAGGACTACTAGATGATAGAATCTGGTAAGGTTAAGTCACTTCTTTTAGAGCAATGAAAACTTTGTTTTTTGATTAGTTACATTTTTATTGCAGAAATAACTGAATAATAAGTGTCTGTACTGACAATTTTATTTTTTAAAATTAAGTTGGGTCCCCTGCTACATTTAGAAATACAAAGAGAAATACACGTGAACACAGGAATGTTAATAAATTGTCAGGGGTGGGGTGGAGAGAACTGAAGAAGCCCGTATCAAAACTGTGTGTACCCCTTCATTTTAAAATTTGGAGTTGGCTGTTCATTTTAAGTTAAGTTTGCTTTACTTGAAGTATGACCTGGATAGTTAAAAAACAAAAATCAAATCATGGTAAGAGGCTTAGGATCAAAAACCATAGTCTCTCATCCTCCCCCTTTCATGATTCCCAAAGGCACCTCATCTTCCCCTAATTTGGTAGTTAATTTCTACCATATTTCTACACAGTGTGTCCATATTATTAGCACTTGGCCATCCATCAAGTGCTTATGTAGTCTTCCTCTGTGCTGACACTGTCCTAAGAGCTCTACAACCATTTAACCCACGGGATTGTCAGCACAGCCCTGTGAGGTAGGAACCACCCTTATCCCAGGTAGAGAGCAGGGAATTGGGGCCCAGAGAAACTAAGTCACGCGCCCAAGGGCTCACAGCTAGTAAGTGGCAGAGGTGGGCAAACTCCCAGCACCCAGGTGCCAGAGTTCACCCTTAAACACTGATGTCTTGTGATGGGTGAGAATGATCTTCTCTTCCTTTCCTCCTTCCTCTCACACCCAGGATGCAATCCAAACCCGCATTCTATAAATATTCACTACTGAGCCAACTCGTTATGTGAGGCTTGTTTCCTTTCTGATGTAAATGTTTTTATTTCCTGGAGTTCAGATTTCTTTGAACATCCAAGTCTTCTCACATCCTACACAGCCCCCCAAGGGGGCCACACCATTTCTTCCATGCCTTCCTGTCCTGGGGACTCCCTGCTGCAGCCTGCTCCTGCTCTTTGGTCTGGATTCTCTGCGGGCAGCCAGCTTTCCTCCCCTGGGGTTGACCTCCAGCCTCCTGCATCCCACCCTCCCTCCTTCTTCATTTCCTACCTCATTTCGCAGGAGCACATCTGCCCGTGAGAAGGGTGTTAACTGTGCATTAACTTTTGAGGCTTTGCATGATTGAAAATGTCTTTATTCTTCTATTTGGTTGTTAGCTTCCCCTACATTCGAGGTTGCAATATTTCCACTCAGAATTTTGAAAGACTGCTCTATTGTTTTCTAACTTCTGAAGCTGTTTTTGAGAAGTATATCCAATTCTTATTCCTAACAGCAGATACTCTTTGATTTTTCTCTCTCAGAATCCTCTATCTCTGGGTTTTGGCAATTTCACAAAGATATGGTTTAGTTTGGGACTTTTTTCCCATCGTTTTGCTTGGTGAGGCTTAATAACCTGGAGGCTCATCTTCTTCAGTATGTTTTGTAATCTTATTTTTTTTTTTAAATAATTTCCTTTCACTACTTTTTGGGTCCTATTGGAATGGAACTCCAGTTGGTTGGACATTGGACTTCCTGTATTGATTTCTTTATATTCTTGTCTTTTCTTTCCTGTTTGCCCTTATTGACTTTTCCCTTTTATTTTCCAGGAGTAATAATATTTTCAATTTATAAGCATTTTCTTACCCGTTGCTTCTTTTCTCATAGCATGCTATTCTTCTTTCATAGATGCAGTATCATCTCATCTTTTTAAGATAGTATTTATAATTCCTCTGAAATTCTCTTCTGCTCCTTGATTGCCTATTTCCTCCGAACTCCTTTTCTCTGTGTTTGCTGGTTTCCCGCAAATGCCTGATATTCTTGAGTGTTTTATCATGTAAGAGTACAGCATTAAAATGCTCACCACACACCAGTGCGTGGGGATGGTGTCTGTAGATTACTGGGCCTTGCCGCAGGGTGAGCAGATAGCCAGCTGCTCTTTTGTTGGAGATCCCTAAATGTCCGTTTCTAGACTCATTTTCTCTGGACTTCCCAATCTCTTGCTTGGAAATGGTGTAAACATGTGTGTTGGCATTTTGAGAAAAGATAATTGCATCTTCTCATCTTTGAAAATGTAGACTTTCACTTCGTTTTCTCATTTTCAGGGTGTACCTCACCCTAACTTTTCTTTTGCTGGTGTCCCCAAGTCTCAGGTTTATTCTCTCCAGCAAATATTCTGGTTTTCTGCATATTTGAGAAGAAGCCTTCTGACTACATGGAGAACGGTGGAGATGTGGGGACTCAGAGTTTTCATCACCCCCTCATTCCACTTCACCCCATTTTAAAATTTTTTCTGATGCCTCCAGTTCCTGAGCCTTAGCAGGTTCCCAGGGGGATGTTTCTCATGTGTACCACTTCCTCTGTCCCCTCACCTCAAACACACTTGGGTTAGATCTTCCTATTCTCTGGTAAGCTATGAGCCATCCCCTCTCCATTTTCTGCCTTCATATACCATGGTTCCATAATATATGGAATGCGTATCCCTTTTTTGTTCTTCTTGCTATTTTTGGAGTGATTTCAAAAGGAGGAGTATAAAGGTCCGTTCCCATCATCTCTGTCATCTTGAAACTATAAGTCAGCTTTGTTGGGTTTGGATCTTGCTAATAATAAGTAAATCCTGAACGTCTATCAAGTATGAAATAATTATCCAGAATACTGTTGAAATCAATGCTATAAAAAAAATACAATAGAACTGCACTAAAATCTACAGAGGTTTTGCCTGTGAAAATGTTATTGATTAGAATGAGCTGATAAATTAGAATAGTAAGAATAGGGATAATGTTAAAATAAGATAATTAGACTAGAAATTTAATTAGAAGTTGAAACCTAATGCCTCTAATAGACACAAGATCAAAATCCTGAGTTAGTTTTAAGCCATCAGTTATCACCTGTTATATAATATGATGGAATATACTTTACTATAATGTACTATGCAGCCCATCTCCTCCCTCTTCCTCCCTCACCTCTTTCCTGGGAATCCACATCTAGATCTTAAACTATTTGGATCATAGATACTTTCGAGAATTTTTTTTTTTTTTTTTTTTTTTACTTTTGAGAATTTGGTAAGAATATTGGCCCCTCTTCCCCGAAATTATTCTGTAACTTTATGGTGTTCAAAGACCATGGAGCCCACCTCTAGATCCTCAGAATAAAGAATCCCTAAAAAAAAAAAAAAAAAGAATCCCTGAAGTACAGCACACTCACAGTCATGCAGAACATATTTACCTCTCTCCACTGTGATACCTGAATTACTGAAGCAGCACCTATCTCTTGACTGTGATTTAAAGCTGTCTGGTAAATTGTTTCTGAGAATCATCAGGCTTGAAAAGTGTCCACCTGCCATTAAGTGTCCACTTGCCCCTCCCCCACACATCCATCTTCCTTCAAGCCCTCTCCATTCAGACCTACACTTGCCCACATGGAGGAGAAAAAGTCAACTGCTGAGGACAATACACTTTCAAAAGAAAACACAGTGACAGGGGAAAGTGTATTTCAATGTATTTATCCCATGTCTGTCTCTATTTTATTCTTTTATTTTCAAATACAATTTTATCTTTTCTGTTCCTGACCCAATAATTATGGGTTTTATTGACCTTTACATTTATCTATTTTCTCACCTATATTCCCTCACAGTCCATATAAAAAGCATAAAGCAATGAATACAATATATCTAAGCAAAGACAGTCAACGCATATAGGCATAGTTCTCATATCACCCTTTCCAGAAAAGCCTGTGACTACCCTCTGATCGGGCTTCCAGTGATAGTCCTTGGCCTTTAACATATGCTGGGATAATCCTACTCCCAGGCACCAGAGCATATAACCACCAGAATCCAAAGAACCCAGACATTAGATTGATTCACAGGGCACCCTAGGCTACCCAGTAATTTGCTATCATCTGGTCAACATAAAATTTAAACCAGCTAGGATATACTACCATTTCCAAGCTGACCCCATA